GGGGGGAGGCGCGGGCTGGCCCTGCCGCCCGGCCAGGGCAGGGCGCGGGCCTCAGGGCGCGCCGCCACCCGCTCCCGTCTCAGCAAGTCGGCAGGAACCCAGAGCAGATCTTGCCCGTTTCGCAGCGATCCCAGGGCAAAGTTCGCTGTGCGAAAATGCCAAATTCCTGAGTGCCACCTTGGTTTCTCGGCCTGAGAGTCTCAGTGTTTCATCCCCTGGCTAGGCTAACCCATGCTTGCCCCTCTTCCATGTGGACAGCAGTTGCTGAGCAGAAAGGAGGCTTTCTAATTGCTGAACTTAAAGCCCAACTGAACCTACTTCCAAAATTAATTTCCTGTTCATATGTCCGTAAGACTATAGAGATGCAAATCAGATAATGTTTTGATAATCAGCTAATCAGGACTTAATTTACTGCAGGAATAAATGCACTTCACGGGCCCTTTCATGTGTGTTCCCTAACACATTTTAACTGTGCAGAAATTCTGTACTTCATGGGATTAATGTGTCCCTCAATAGAGGCTTAATCACGGAAGAAAGGCATTATGCCCACAGAAGATGCCTCTTCTGGGCTTTTTGTTGCTTTCAAATGGCTCCATCGCTGACTGGCATACCCTTTCCAGGCAAGTTTTCTGAGTAGCAGCTGCCCAGTTCAGCTCAATCTTCTGAATGAAAATATATCCTGACAAGACACGCAGATGCTAGAAAGTTCTACGGAAAATCTGACAGACCCCAAGGTGTGAGTTTTCAAGTGAAGCTCAAATGAGACCATTACAAATGGGCCAGAGCAGAGGGGCGAGACAAGCGAGCTAAACACACCGCCCGTCCAGCCCCAGAGGCCATGCACAAAAGCGCCGCTGGGCACGGCTCTGCTCGCTCGCAGGCAGCATTGTTCCAAATGGCCTACCCGGCCACCTGGGCCCTGGGTGCATCTGCGGAAACCCGCTCACCTCCCCACATGCTCTCTGGTCGAGTCACTAGTGCGAGTCCCAGCCCACCTAGTGGTGGGGCGTGACCAAGTTTCAGGGGCTGTCAGGGCAGTGCTAACAGGGGACCAGTTTGCAGCCTGCTGCCAGTGGCGACCGGTCACTGCAGCCTCTGCAGCTTCCAAAAGTACTTCCACTAGCTCCAAATCCATTTGCTGCCACGACTTTTGCTGCAGTGGCCACTCAGCTTATAATGCTGGCAAAGTGGTCGCTTTCGCCAATGGCCTCGTCAGCAGCCACCACGATCCCCGGTCGCTTCTCAGTCGCCAGTCACGGAGCGGACACTCCTCGCTCCCGTGGTGACGGTGCAGCTTGGTGATTCTGAGGAGCCCCGTCCGGAGTCACAAACAAGGGCCACAGAAGCAAACCTGCTGCTGCCTGTCCTGCCCACGGTGTCCCTCGCGTCTTCCTCAGAGCTGCTCTCACTGTCAAGGGGACGCCCTGCAGCCTCTGGTGGAAAGGCCTCCAGGCCCAGCCCTTTCCGCCGCGGCAGCTGGGAGGCTGGGTGGGACGGGACGGGGAGCTGGTGCCCCTGTCGCGTCAGTGCCGTCTGCAAGGAGCCCCGGGCTCCGCGAGGCCCCAGAGCTGCTGGGCCATCTGAGGGCCCGGGGCCTGGGAGCATGGAGAGCCCTGGGTGGCACCAGGCTGCCTGCGGGATCCCAACGTGTGACAGTCCCAGAGGGGAGGGCAGGCACAGGGATCGGTGGTGTTTGGTTCTGCATCTCAAGGTTTCTGCAAACCAGACCTTCGGATGCAAGGGGAAACACCAGCAAAAGCCAACGTGCCACGTATGACTCAGGCTCAGCTGTCACCCTGGACAGTCCAGAGGCCCTCATCAGTGGCCAGTCAGCTGTTGCGAAGGCCAGGCGAGTGCCCCTCTGGAGAGGGACTGGGGCTGCAGACGGCTTTCACAAAGCCATGAAGGTATTTAGTGCTCTGTGTCGTTCTGTACGACATTTGCAAGATGGCTTTCAATCATCACGCCGGTCGTGACCACAGCAAGACAGCAAGACCTACCGTTAATGGCAGAAAACAGGAAGGGCTGTTCTAAAGCTGGGCAGAAAGCAGTATGCCGTTTTATGCCTATTTCCATCGCCTGTGCAAGGAGGCCTTTAAAAGTCTCCCTGGAAGTATTACTTTGGGGCTGCAAATGAGGTCCTGAAACGGTTAGAAAGGTCACCAAGACCGTCAACTCACATGTCCTCGACTGTAATGTCCTTGAGGATCTGGCAGTAGTCCACGTTCCAGACGGCCTGATCATCCCAGACCTTGGAGGCAAGAAGGACGGCTCCCAGGACGATCCTCTTCCAGTTAGTGGGGCAGATGTCGATCTCAGCGTAAGTCAGAAGCCTTTCTAAGTACACCTGCAAAAGCAAAGCACTGGTCAGGGGTGGCCGGGGATGCGGACGGTGCCTCTGAGTGCCAGAGTTCTGGTCCCACCGGGACACAAGTGCCTTGGATGCCTGTGTTCTGAGCAGAGGCTCCGTCGTCCCGGAGAGGCCACGGCCAGGCCCTGCTGCTCACTCTGCCCAGGGGCATGTCCAGCCCGTCTCTGGCCCGGGAAGGACTGATGTCGCGCCAGGGGCCCGCGAAGAGGCACTCTGCACCCACGCACGTGACGGCAGGGCAGGTCGGCAGGGACTGACCCGCTCCCGAGCAGAGTCCCGCCGCAGGCAAGGGGGCAGGCCCAGCTGGCCGTCAGCAGTCTGACAGGTGCGAGTGACACATGTAAAACCCACGTCGTGCTGAGCACACTCAGTCCTCTCCCAACGGTCGGCCTGTGCAGCCTGTGCAGGCTGCTGGAAGATCTGCTGGTTTAGGGCGCCTCCCAGCGGCCGCCTGCAGGACAGCATGCCGGGCGCGGGTCTGCAGGGCCGTGTTGCGGCACGACAGTCCTTCCACAGCCACGTTCTTCACATCTCCAGGGTCACTTCCCGGAAGCTCACCTCCTGGGCAACAGAATCTGTCATGCCGCCAGCTCAGTTGGCTTCAAGGCGGCACCAGCTGCCAGTCTCTCATATATCCCTGAGAGAACCCCAGGCCTGCCAAGCGGTTTATAGGACAGGCCCATGAATTACTGCACACGTGCCGAGCATCTGTCCTGCTGAGAATCGGGCGAGGCCAGCCGCTGGGTGAAGGCTCAGAGGCGGCCGGGGCTTCCAGCTGCCTCCAAGGGCTCTGTGGAAGGACATGTGCACGCGCTATCTGAGCCTCTCATAAAGACAAAAAGAAAAAGCGCAGTTGAAGGAAGTTCATTCACTGCCTGAAGGTCATCGGCTGGCAGCTCAGATCTGTCAATGTTTCCCAAACGCAACTGTGTTTTCTTTCTTTCTTTCTTTTTTGGGTTGGAGTCTTGCTCCATCACCCAGACTGGAGTGCAGTGGCACGCTCCCAGCCACCGCAGCCTCAACCCGCTGGACTCCAGTGATCCTTCCGCCTCAGCCTTCTAAGTAGCCGGAACTAAAGGCGCACACCACCACACCCGGCTAATTTGTTTGATTTATTGTAGAGATGAGGTCTCGCCAAGTTGCCCAGGCGGGTCTTGAACCCGGGGGCTCAGGCAATCCTCTTGCCTCAGCCGCCCAAGGTGCTGGGATGACAGGCTAAGCCACCGAGCCCGGCCTCATCTGTTTTCAAAAACAAATGGTGTCAAGATGCCCTGTTCTTCAAGAGATTCTGCTCCCTTCCCCGCTCTGCACTCCCCAGCACCTTGGAGGCGAACCTCCCTCCCTGAGACGACACGCAGTGGCAGCTCCTCGGTTCTGGCTCTGTAGCCCTGAGAAGCCGTGACATGCAGATGCTCCGGCACCACGTATCCCTTGTCTGCCCGAGAGGTCCTTCCCCACTGCAGCCAACTGCTGCCTCAGTGCAGCTGAGCACGTCCACGTCTGCAGAACGCTCTCCCTCTCGGCCAAGGCTTCCCCCCACAACGTGTTTCCTTTGTTCCCATCCTACCCCCACAGCTCCTGGACGCTCCCTCGCGCTCACAGTGCCGGCCCCAGGGCTAGCTGCTCACCTCTGTCTCTGCTTGGCCCAGGCCTCTGCCCCGGCCCCCTCCTGCCAAAGTCCAGGCAAACCAGAGCTCTTCTCGCCAGGGCTTCCTGACACCGCCTGGGGCACTGCCATCCACCTGGGTGCCTGCTCCAGTCTTGCTGGCCATCTGCTTCTGACTCTGGGCCGCCATGGTCACTGTTTACCCACATCGGCCTCCCAGCTTTCCAGCCCTCTTCCCTGCCTCCCCAAAACTGTCAGCAAAACCTCTCCAGTCACGAGCACACTCCCCTTGCCCATCTGCCACAGCTATCCTGCCAGCCTCGGGTAAGAACTCAGCTTCGCAGGCCAAGGCCCCGCACGCCCAGCACTGCCCGCATGCCTCCCCTACTCCGTTTTTTCCTCACCCCTCGCCTGACCACACTGGCCACCTGCAGCTCCCCGAACACACATGTGACATGTTCGTGACCCAGCCTTGGCACGTGCCCCACTGTTTGCCCTCCTGGCCTGGGCCAGGTTGCCATGCCAAGGTTCCCTTTCTAGAGAGGCTCTTCCTGACTGTTCTAAGGAGAGAGCCCTCTGTGCACCCTGTATCCCTTTGCCCTATTCGATCTCTTGGCATTGACCTCTACCTGGGAAAACGTCTTCCTTGCTAGACACGAGCTCCTCAGACAAGAGCCTTGCTCCTTTGCCCTCTCCCTGCCAGCACCCAGAACACTGGCACACGTGGGCACCCAGGGGCTAGCCAGGAAGGAGCAACTCCACAGCTCTCAGTGCCGCCACAGCCCCCTGACCGACCGCCTCCTCTGCTTACCCGCTCCTGGGGCTCCTTCCCGTCCAGCCCTTCCTCTGGGACTCGTCCCTTAAATGCTGACAGTCTTTACAGCTCTAGCTTCTGTCCACCTGTTTGCTCTTTGAAGGAGTGGGGTCTCACTGTGTTACCTGGGCTGAACTTGGACTCGGCGCTAGTGCCCCCGCCTCAGCCTCCCAGGCAGCTGGGCCTCTCGCTGCTCCCGACCAGCTCCGCTCTCCAGTCCTTACCTTGAGAGTCCGACCCCAGGCCCCTAGCCCACACGATGGCTGGCCACCGCCGCGGGCACAGTGAGCTCCCCTCCCACCAGCATTCCTCTCGCCTGCCTCTGCGTGTGGAGTGCCACTGCTGCCTCCCGCGAGCAAGCCTGGGTCAGCGCCCGTGCCCACCGAAGCCTCCTCTCCCGAGGCCACGGCTGCCACGGAGCAGGTCTGGACCTGACCTGCATGCCACTTCCCTCCAGGGGCTCGCTGCGGGGGGCAGCACACCGACGCCAACTGCTCGAACAGGACTTGCCGTTCGAAACGCCAAGGTCCTCCCACAGAGGTTCGGCATGGCTGACGTGGAGGCAAGCCTGCAGCCACAGCTAGGCAGGCCGGCCCGCTCAGCCCTCCGGCATGCGCGGCTGCTGCACGCCCCCGGCAACTGCACGACCGGCACGAGAAGTCAGCAGGGAGGGATGAGTGCCCGTCACCCAAGAACCACTTGAGGGCAGAGGCTCTCAGTCACGACACGCGTCAGGACTGCTGGGCCGGGCCTTGGCCTGCACTGGAGCCGGCCGCCGCCTGTGGCCGGGTGGTCTTGCTCCTGCGCCCGCCCCACCCCGGGGTGTGCAGGGAGACGCCACAGGTCTGTCTTGCTGCCTTCAGGGCAGCTGTCGTGGGAAGAGAGCACCAGCTCCACTTAAGCCAGGCAGCCACTGAACACGAACTTGCGCGTGGACTTTCTCTTGAAAGGTTCCCCGAATGTTCTGAGGGAAATTTCAGGAACCTACTCTTGCTTGAAAAGCAGGACTACACGCGGTGTACAAGACCTACTTTGAAGGACGTTCTAGAAATAAGAAACATCTTACCAAAGTTACGATTGCACATTCAGCTGTGAGCTGGGCGGCGCTGAAAAGGGTGCGCACAAATCTGTAAATAAACTTGTGCTCCGGGTCGTGCTGAAAGTATTCCTCTGGAACCTTTTCGCGCTGAAAGAAGAAAATGCAGTGCAAAGGTCCACTGGAGGAAAATGTGTGCAAACTCTTAGGACGGCAGTCTGTACGCTTGGGCTCATGCATCCCTTCACTTTGATGGGGCGACACATCTTTTAGTCTTAAAACCTAAAGTGGGATCTGAAAGCACTGCAGTGACTCAAGTCTCGTCGCCATCTATTAAAGAAAAGCATAGGCCCGTGTCAGGCGAGAGTGGCGCATTCAGGGTGGTACGGCTTTAGACGGGCCCATGCTCGGGAAGCCTCCATGCCCCTCACCAGAACTCCACTGAGACGCCAGCTACCTTCAGGCTCAGAAGCCGCCATGATCATGCCACGCTTCTCTGCAGGGAGCTTAAAGAAACACTGTCAGCTTCCTGTGACCACAGGCTCCTCGGCTGCACTGCATCTCTGGCCACATGTGACCATCATGTGACTGAGAAAGTGACTTTTTACAATTTTACGCCACTTTAGCTGATTTGTTTTCCAATTCCCTTCCTGGAGACTGCATTTATTTGTTAGGACTATTGACAAATATTTATATCGTTTGATGCTGCTGAAAAGGATCTGTTCAAAAGCGATAGTTGCTGTTCTTTGGAGAGTACGTGTGCTCACCTCAGCCCTCTCAGTAACGCTGCAAGTCAGTGCTGACTCCAGCTGTGTGGGGGAGAAGGTTTGAGGGGAAGGAAATTTTGACTTCAGCTCAAAATAAACCCGACGCTATGACAGAAAAATACAACCTAAAGAAAGCAACACTTACCGTAAGTGGATGTGATCTCTCATCAAAAATATCCAGGGACCTATTTGCATCTCTGTAAGATAAGAATGTGCATTGAAGAAATTAATTCAGGAGCTATGAACGTCTTAGCTTTGCTGGCAGCTAGGGCGGTGGGTGTCTGTTACCCGGTGGACACTCTCACAAACTCCTCTCCTGGATCTGGCCTCAGGGATTCCTCAAACGTCAAGTCCTGTGCTATGCAGTCTTTGCTCAACGGCCAGTCAGAACCGCTGTGAGTACTGACCCTCCCCAGCAGGCAGAGGTTGCAAACCAATGCACCTTCACCCCCCAGCCTTACACGTGGGAGACAAACCCTTCGCAAAGTAGCCAGGCTGGCAACGGGGTCCCAGGCTTTTCCCTCTCCTGGTTCTCTGTATTATGATCTTACTGTGGTTTGCCTGAGTCACCAGAGTTTTCTAATTGTTTTGCTTTGTTCTAAAAGAAACCAGTCTCTGATGAACTTTAGCAGTCTGTACAACTAAGGCTGGGTGTGGTGGCTCTCACGCCTGCAATCCCAGCAGTCTGGGAGGCGTGGAGGCCAGAGGATTGCCTGAGCCTGCAGGGTCGAGGCCAGTCTGGGCAACTTGGTGAGACCTCGTCCCTACAACAAATAAGAAAATCAGCCAGGTGTGGTGGCACACGCCTAGTTCCAGCGACTTGCAAGGCTGAAATAAAGGCCCGTCTGAGCCCAGTAGGTCGAGGCCATGGCGGCCGCTAGCATGTCACTCCACTCCAGCCTTGGCGACAGAATGAGACACCAACTCAAAAAGAAAATAAAAAGAAAGTACAACCATCTTTCTTAAAAAATGAATGAAATGACCCTATCACTTCAAGGAAAATAACAAGTGTTTGTTGCTAATGATAAAATTCAAGCTAAAATCCAGGACTTTGGAAACATGTACCTTCTACAGTGAGCTTAACAGCTTCTCAATACTTACTTTTTTTTGAGTTGGGGTTTCACTCTGTCACCCAGGCTGGAGTATGGTAACACATTCACAGCTCACTGCAGGCTTGACCTCCTGGACTCAAGCGATTCACCTGCCTCAGCCTCCCAAGTTGCGGGGACAACAGGTACACGCCATGTACGGCTAGTTTATTTTACTTTTTGAGGAGACAGGGTCTCACTGTGTAGCCCAGACTGGTCTCAAGCAATCCTCCTGTCTCAGCCTCCCAAAGTGCTGGAATTACATGTATGAGCCACCGCCCCGGCCACCACCAGTCTTATAAAAGGTCTCTAAGTATTGAGGCTGAGCAAGGTGGCTCATACCTGTAATCCCAGCTACTTGGGAGGCTGAGGCGGAAGGATCGCCTAAGCCCAGGAGGCTGAGGCTGTGATAAGCTGTGATCATGTCACTGCAGTCCAGGATGGGTGACAGAGTGAGACCTCGACTCAAAAAAAAAAAAATACTAGTGGTGATGATACTTAACAAAAGCGAGCTGTTGATACTATAAGGAAAAGGGAATTAGTATTTTATAAAAACCAATAATATAATAAAAGTAAGGGGGAAAGATCCACTTATTGTGCAAGACGGGTCAGTGAGTATCGATGTAACATTGACATGTGAAATTCCATTATAACTAATTAAGGACCTAACACTTGTGGAGTTCTGGTGTGGTATTAAAGAATACCCATAATTACCTGAAAGCTTTAAAAACGTATTTTTTTCAACTATATACCTGCATGAGGCCAGGTCATCTTTTTATTGCTTCTTTTCAAAACAAATCGCAAAGACAGAGATGAGAATCCAGCTGTCTTCTCTTACGCCCGACATTAGAGAGTTGCAAAAGCATAAACAGATAACACGCTTTTGACTCAACTTTTTTGTTTTGGAAAAGAGGTTCTTTTCATAGAAAACATTATTTCTGTTAACAATACGATTCTCAGCCAGGGACATTTTTTGTTGTCACAGCCTCAGGGGAGGCTGCTACTGGCATCCAGTGGGGAGAGACCATCCATGCTGCTAAACAGCCTGCAATGCACAGTTCAGCCTCAAAACAGAATTGCCACAGAAAATCAGCAGTGCCAAGGTTGCGAAACCCAAGCTGAACTAAACATAAATTTATTTTTTTTAATCCTCTGTACAGTTAGAGTCAACATAATCGATGTAAACAAATACTCTCTGGGACCCTCAATAACTTAAGAGCGAAGAGAGTCTCAAGGACCAAAAAATACCAGAAATGTCACGTTAATATGTAACAGGCACTGTGCAGCTTATGCTGTCTATAATCAGGACCTAACACTAAACTTGATATCATGCAAAGTAATTAGCTGGAATAAAAAGACAGGTTTTAAAAGAGCTCACCTGTTCTTTATGTGGTAATATATTGCTAAGGTCACACTGTGGAAGGAAAAAAAAAATGTAACAACTGGTTTTATCATTTGCTGGCCTGAAGACGCTTTTTTAAAAGGGGAGTCGGGGAGCCCTCCCAGTGGCCCTGAAGCCCTTCCGTTCAGAATAGCACCACTGGGGCACTTTCCCCTTGTTTTAGCTCTTCAGCTTCTAGCAAAAACAGGAGAACCAACATGTGAGGACATACACTGTCAGGAGACACGTTTCTGCTGATTATTATGCTATACAAGTAATTGGACATTTTCCTTGTCATTTGTTCTTCCAACCCATAGAACCTTTCATCCTATGCAAGTTACATCCACTCGCTCAAATGCTTAGGTTTAAGCCGTGGCTTATTTTTCACTTTTAAGGTGCTAGTTCCTGCATTTGAGTAGATTTAGTCCACTATCACCTACCCACCCATTTTTCATTATTTCCCAGAAAGCAAATAATGAAAGTGCTTTATGCCGGATAACATCATTTAAAGCTACTTTTGTATAATTGTTAGCAGAAAGTGTGTCAGTAAACATAAGGGCACACAAAGTCAAAGACAGGTGTAGCCATGCTGGAATCAGCAACGCTACAAAGCAGCAGGACCCAACCCAGCGCGGTCCTCGCGGCAGGCGCCTCCCCTGCCCGCAGTTTGACGAACGGATACACCTCTCCGGATGCTGCTACTGCACGCCCAGGCCACCCCCAGATCCGCGCACTGGAACAGGGGCTTCTGGCAGATGAGCTAGAGGCTTCCATTTGCCCTCAGTGTCTACTGAGGCTCAAAGGAATTGCGGGAAGGCAAATCTGAATTTGAGAAGTAGGCCCAAACAATATTAGCCTGCTTTAAAAGCTGGTAGCATTGTTAGCATTTAAGATGGATACTTCTATAGTGCTTCAAACAGTTTCATCTCCAGGTTGGTTTAAAAAAAAAATCACAGAATTTGAAATGACGTGCGGAAAAGAGCCATCAAACCCTACACGACATTTAACCCAACACCCATTTTACATATAAGGGAACCAAGGTTTGCAGTGGACTTGCCCAAGGCCCCACCATAAAGAAGCAGTTTGTCCTCGGACACTCGGGTTAAGCAGTGGTTCCCAGACTTTGCTGCACCCTGGAATCAACAAGGAACTCTGAAAGCCACCTAGCTTCCAACTGGAGACATTCTGATGGAAATTGGCACCGGGTTTGGCTTTGGGCATCAGGTTGTTTATAAAATTCCCCAGGTGGCCCCAATGCAGCCAAGTCTGGGGAGTCTTTTATTCATGTAATTATGCCTCACTTCCTTCCCCATTTTCCCAAAGGCTTGTGGTGCCTGGACACAGAGGGAAGGAGAAGGGGGGAAGACGCATGCATCTGCAGACATAGGTCTTGGGAAAAGCGGCATAAGTGATTCTAACGTGGCTCACTCACCCTACTGAGAACAATGTACTCCTCGCCCACGACAAACATTTTCTGACGGCTTCTCAAAAGTCAGTTTGCCCTATTCCTTCGCTCAGTAAGCTTTATTTCACCAATAGTCAATATACCAAATGATCATTTCTCAAACTTCACAAGAGCAAATTAAAACTTACTGGATTTCCAAAAGTAGACTTGTAAAAATAACACTAGCTCGGGAAAAAAAAGTGTGAACTCTACACATTTGAGCAAGGTCAATTTTTAAAACTACTTCTGGAGTGTCTACTAAAACATCATAATCTTTTAAGTTCTAAATCTGCGGGGACTCTAGCAAAGCAGAGTGGTTTTTTACTCAAGGGTCCTGGGCCTTGGCTGAACACGGACATTTGGTGATTGTTTGGTAAGTGCCAGAGTCGGGATCCAGTTTTTGCTGAGACACAATTTGATCTCAACTACTGTCCCTGGGAGAGGGGAGTGACATTATTATGAGTGCAAACTTGAAGAAGATACTGATCGTAGAATTAGCTAAAAAAAAAAGTGAGTACATTAGAAACAAAATTAGGTGTATAGGCTAGTTATAATTTCACACTGAAAAATAAAGGGAGGGATAAGGACATTAATATCCGAATACAGCACATCCCAAACTATCTTGAAAATCAACGCATAATCCAAAGAGAGATCAATAACACTCCCCAGACAGCCCACTGGAGCTGGCCAGACAGCCCACTGGAGCTGGTCTGCTGCCGTAGCGTCTCAAACAGACTCGAGAAGTTCCGCTCGGGTACTCTGCGCCCACGCCTCCAACCGGGGCCTGTGGGCATGGCACTGGGGAAGTGTCGCGCAGAGTGCTGCGGTGCCCGCAGAGGACAAACTGCTCCTTCTCCCTGGAGGAGCTTCCGAGCGGCATGCATGGTTTCAGGCCACGGCTGAAACGCCTAAGGAACTAATTTTTTCCAGAAAGGTCCAAGAAGCAGCCCCTCTCCTCAGTATGTTCAACCCTGCACGAACACAAGTGCATCAAATCAACGGCTGCGCTCCTGGGACTGTGGATCTGCTAGCGGGCTCTCCCTTCCCCCAGGCAGTGTGAGAGTAAAATGGAGGCTGGAACTTGGTTGAGGTCCTTGGAAGCAAGACGCAGTGGACACACTTTCTTAAGCTGAGGGCTGAGAAGAACACCCACCGGCTGGAGTCACCGAGGATGGAGGGAGGCGCTCAGCTCGGGTCTGTCGCTCGGCTGGGGCAGCCCAGTCATACTCACCATTTGACTGTGGTTCTCAGATGAGGCTGGCTGACTGTGCTGTCATCGAGAAATATTGTTGAGCACGAGCTATACTTTTTAGTGAGATGCCCTGGAGACACCTGAAGTGGGAGGGGGATGGAAGAAATGTCACAGGAGGTCTGGCCTACAAAAGCGTGGCTTTCCTCGGTTGCAACGTCAAGCGGTACAGCACTAAGAAATCTCACGCTCCGGGAGCTGCTGGAGTGGGCGTCCCGCGCAGCCCGAGGGAAACCCGCAGGGCGCTAAACTCCCAGATGTGTGCGTAACGAATTATAGTGGCTGCTCCTGACAGGGAACTGATCGTCCGTCACCCCTGGCAAGTGGCTACTAGGAGCACCTCTTATAAGTAATGTGAAAGGTTTAAAATACGAGTTCAGTGCGCTTTCTTAAGCAATACCAAGCAGCTGAGATTTCCTGCTTCTGTGACTCAGTGACTATAGTATGACGCAATGCCTTTCGTCATACCGGCACAAGAAGTGTTTTACTGCAGTCAACAGAAGCCAAATGCTGCCTCCACTCCCCGGCTGACACTGCAGGCATCAGTTCAGGAGACAACGAGTGTGCCGGCATCCGTGGCTCTGAGAGTCAGGGCTGCTGGACTGCACTGGCGAGGGCCTCAAGTGTCCCCAGGCCTGTTTATGTGCAGGATAAGAAGAGCATCACCTTCCAGATTCTCTCACAGTCAAAAACAGACAACGAAACAACTTCAGGAATTCAACACTCCGTGACTCACGAGACCCCAGAGAACACTTCCCACCCGTTGCCAAAGGTTGCGGCTCCGAGCCAGGGGCTAGGTGACGCGTGCCCTGGCCCTCTCCTGCCTGGCTCAAGCCACACCCTGCCTGGACTGCCTTCTTCCTGCCCCCTGTCCCGGCGAGCCTGGCCCGTCTGCCGCCCGGGACGCTGCGCAGAGCGCCGCCCTTGTGTAGGCTCAGGCTCACCCACCACCTGTGGCATAACACCAGTCGCCTGCCCAGGCCCCCTCCTCACAATCCCGGCGAAGGGAGGGCTCTTCCTCTCCTGTCTCCGCACCTTGTGGGACAGACAGGGGAGTGCAACAAGCATGCGGCAAATTCAAATCAATCACGATTCGGAAGGTAAATCTTACCAGATGCAAATTAGTGAGCTTTTCTCTGCAGTGGTTTTGGAGAGGCCACAAGGAACCCTTTGAGCCCTCTAGAATATAAACTATCTTTAAAACACTTTAGAAGTATCCATTTATTTGCGAAGAGTGCAACAGTCAAATACTGAAACAGCCTAGGCTATGTTAAGACAGTTCTCTTCCTTAAAAATGAGGCCAATAACCAAATTCCAGTCACTGAATGGCTGAAAGTAACCCCAGCACTCTTTAAAACCACAGAATGCCAATGTTGCTGACGTTTCAAAAACTCATTCAGATGAGCCTTCCTTCCTCCTACTAGGAGAGTTGTCACCGTGTTGTCATACTCCTCCACCCATCCCCACCAGCACGTGGAGTCAGGGCAGGGGAAGGCCCAGCTGCCGCTTCTCAAGGGGTCCAGCATTGAAAAGCTGCCAGAGCCAAGTATCAGAAGTATCCCTACAGTCTAAGGCCATTTTGCTTGCCTCCGAGGTTTTTACTGCAAAGTCACATTTCCTATAAACAAAAAGTTCCAGATGTTACATTTTTGAAAAGTATTACGACTTGAAGGATCAAACTCTCCTTCCAGGTGGAAAGGGCTGAGCTAAACCTAAGCTCTTCCATGTTTCCTAAGCTGTCCAGCTGCTGGTTACACATTCATCATCCTACGTGTGAGTTAATGTGTGTACGGTTACTGTCTCAAACACAGCGTGAAAAATAAAAATGGACTCATTCAACTCTTTTCATTCAAAGTGGAAGAAGGCATCTTCTAAGGTCACTCCTGTTGTGGTTGACAGGGTCCATACCCCACTTAGCAGGGTCAATTCTGACGAACATGGAGAAAATGCCCCAAAACACAGATCAGTAGGAAGAACTGAGGCGAGACTTTCCTTATCTCCTTCACTTGACATTTTCTGCCACGAATGTATCTTGGCTTGTCTTTGAAGATGCTAGTGCTACAATATTTAGCACTCTGAATCAGAGTGCTACAGGGACTCATGAGTGGTCAGCAGCATACGGCGTACTAGCTAGACCTGGCTGGAGAAACAGCAGCCGCTCTCCCATCTCAACTACTGTCTAATGACAGAGGAGTCATTCATTCCAGGAAATGGTCATTTTTTGCTTTTTTTCTTTTTATCCTCCTGCCAGGTCATGCCCAAATTTCAAGATGGCCAGAAAAGGCGAATGCAAAAACTCTGCTAACCAGTACACACACAGCAGGGGACACACCAACTACTCAAATATTTCATTATCAAGAGCATCCTATGTCTCTTGAGACCACGGGATGGCAGAATTAAGTCTCCGAGTAAAGAAACTATAGGTGTCAACAGTTAACTTTTCCCTCATCCTGCTGGAAAACTCAACAACTGTCCTTTATGGCTAAAGTCTTACCATGGCTGTCTCATAACCTTAACTTAAAATATACTGATAAACATAAGGACATAAAATGCAAATACTAAAAAAAAAAAAAAAAAAAATCAAAGAGCAAAAACACTACAGACAGGTTCACAGATATTCCGGGTAGTCAAAAAATCGGGACAAAGAACATTGTCTTCATTCAGTCAGTGCAAATGACAGAGTACGAAAGCTGACAATCTTTAACAAGAAGGAAAAGGGTGTTCCATGGACTTAAGGCCTCCCAGCAAGACCAGAAAATCATCAAACCTGGTGGTCTAGTAAGTCACAGCCTCACTCACCGTCAGGGGCCAAGTACCTTGCGGAACCCTGACCCACTGCTGACTCTTCCCACCGTGCCGACGGCCTCCGTTTTTTTTCCACCCATAAAGACTACAAGCGAAGACCACTTCTCTCTCCTTGCTTGCAAGACAAGTTGTAGGTATGTTTTCTAAGCTTTAATGACTTTAATCAAGCACTGCTAACACTTTTTGTATGTATGGAAACAGCCCCATCCATGTTGCAGAGTAAAGGAGTAACATCACAGGGTGCAGAGTTTAGCAGAATTCTTAAGCAGGGCCTTTGCAGAAACGTGTCATGTGCTGCTGACAGATATATAATGTCATCGATTATACTGAATTTAAACTTAGATTTACACTTTAAAAATCGGTTCTAAGCCGGGCTCGGTGGCTCAGCCTGTAATCCCGCACCTTGGGAGGCTGAGGTGAGGGGATTGCCTGAGCC